TTTTGGTCGAGGTTTCTTTATCTTCATTCTTTTTGTTAGCATTAATAAAATGATTCAATTGTTGAACACAAGCGTCCAATCCTTTGGTCTTAAGCTGTTGGCACTGTTTGGCAATGGATTGTATGGTTGCAGAGAAGTTCGCGCATTGCTTGAAATCGGCAATAGCTTTGGCCCCATCTGTGTCTTTGCAATCGCCTATTATATGAAATAATTGATTATTTAGTTGACCACTTTTTGCCATATGAATTAATTTTAAGGTTTCCAATAGAATTACCGCAATAAATAGTTGGGAATCGAGTTTCGGATTTTATATCTCATGCGAAAACATCATTCATGCAAATTGTCAAAATTATTACAAGTAAATGAACTAACGTCATTTTACAGTTATTAATTTTAACTACAATTAATATCAGTTACAAGTATACTACAGCACTACAGAACTACACCCCTATTGTTATTACAATAAAAATGAAATTAATTTTAATTACGGACTATAATTATTTAAAGTACTTAAATACCTATACTGTAGAATAAAATACAGTATATCATGAATCATGATAGGTATTGAATAGAATAATAGTAATGTTATCATGTACAGTAGTTGTTAGAACATATAAGCAGCTGCATCATAATAAAGTATTTGCATATTGTAATTTTCTTTATTTAATATTGACTATTAAAACAACAAATAATATTTTTTATAATAAGTAAAGTATTAAGTTAATTTTCCACATTGTAAACAAAAAATATAATTTAATTGATATTATTTAATTATAAACAATAAATAAAATTGTTATTGTTTTGAAAAATTCATATTTATTTTATTAGTTAGTTTGAATCAGGTCTGTTACAGTTACCCAAGAAACAATACAAGAAGGTAGATCTTCAAACCAATTAAAAATGAATGTTGAATTATAATAGAATGCAAAATTATTACACAGTACAATTTTATTTGTTCTTCTTAATTAAATAAATCAATTAAATTGTATTTTTTTGTCCACAATATGTTTGGGTGTACACCGACTTGTATACACCCGTTGTGTACACCCGTCATACCTATTATTTTAAAAACATAAAGTGGCTTCTAAACTGCCTGACTATAAATTACAAACATTGTTTAGAAACCATAAAAATACCCATGGTACTATTTTAAAAATAGATAATATAATAGCAAATAAATATAAATAATAAAATTTATTAATTATAATCTCCACATTTAATAATTTGATTTCGATGTTTATCGAGTTCAATTGTGCATGTATCATTTCTTTTATAGTCATCTGCGTTTGCATTTTCTCTAAAGGTTTGCATTAATTTATGCATTTGTGACAAACAATTGTCTAAATTATTTCTGGTTTTATTCGCCAATTCAGACATATTCCTTGCCTGCGGCCAATCAATCATACAGTCCTTGAATTGTTGTATATATTTTTTAGCCCCCGTTTCCCCGCAATTACCTATTAATTAAAACATTTTTAATTAAAAATGCAGATTTTAATTTAATTAGTATAAAGTTTAAATTATCAACTAATTTATAACTTTAATATTTTATTTTATATATAAGTTAAATAATTTAGATCATATCAATAGTTATTTTTATCCATAAATATAAACTAACCATACACAATATTAAATTAATATAATAATTTCATATCGAGTAACAGAATAAATTCGCGGTTTCCGCGATTAGTTTAATATAATTTATAAATCACTCATATACAGTGCAACCTCTCTTGGGGGACTTTCTCTTGGGGGAATACCTCCTTTAGAGGAACGGATTTTAAGCATATTTTGAATTTTCTATAGCTTTAACAGAACCTCCCTTGGAGGAACCCTCTCTATAGGGAACACTTTTGCCGTGTATCTGGCCGTTCCTTATGGAGAAGTTGCACTGTATACTATTCTATATTTATAAATAGTATACAACTTATAATATTATATAATTTTTTATTCACAAATAAGTTAGTAAAATTATGATTAGTGTATAAATATTAATTTAGTATTACCGCAATATAACATGGCTATTCCATCTCCATCATTTACATCCCATGTTTTGGCTATTTTGATGGCAATCACCGCAACATTTAATGCAATAAATATAAACGAAATGAAAACAACTAGATTTGTCATATTCACCAGTACTACAGCACTACACCTCTATTGTTATCACAATAAAAATGAAATTAAT